TTTTTTAATGACGAAATATTTCGTAAAATGTAAATGAACTTGTTAACTACCGAATATCTTTAGTACTATGATTAATGGTTACCGAAGTGCGAGACTTAATTTGTACGCCATTCACGGATTATCATAATGAAAGGGTTTAGAAGTAGAGAAACAGTGGATCGTTTGAGAGAATGGTTTTCTCCGCAGTCGTGGCTTATCCTGCTTCTTTTCTTGTCTCGGTTCTTTTTGTTGGCGCGACGTTTTAGCAAAATCGAAGAAAAAAAAGAGCTGGGAAGACCGTGACTCTTGTTGAAGGGTACTGGGGGATTCGCAGAAAACGAAACGATGACGAAGAGAACATTAGAAGTGGCGGACAAAACGGTCGTGTTAACTCGTTCGGGAATTTTAACTAATCAATCATTGCTGAGATATTTTTCAAAATTAATTTTTACGCTACTCAAATTTACATTTCTTCTCTGGAACGATATTTTTATTTTTAGTTTCATTAAATTAAAATTTAATGTTAGAGTTTTTGCAAGAGATACTGACTCTTAAAGGTTACTAGGAATTCATGTATTTTTTATCAAATCACTAGAAGTTGCTATATTTAGAAATTAATAAAAATTGCTATGTTTCTTAAAAATTACTAAAAACAGACATATTTAAAAATTACTAAAAACAAACACGTTTAAAAATTCCTAAAAACAGCCACGTTTAAAAATTACTAAAAATCATTGCATTTCTTAAAAATTACTAGAAATAGCTGCACTCAGAAATTACTAAAAATAGTTACATTTAGAAGTAATTAAAAATTGCTACATTTCTAAAAAAATTACCAAAAACAGCCACGTTTAAAAATTACTAAAATTCATTACATTTCTTAAAAATTACTAGAAATAGTCACACTTAAAAATGACTAAAAATAGTTACATTTAGAAGTAATTAAAAATTGCTACATTTCTAAAAAAATTACCAAAAACAGCCACGTTTAAAAATTACTAAAATTCATTACATTTCTTAAAAATTACTAGAAATAGTCACACTTAAAAATGACTAAAAATAGTTACATTTAGAAGTAATTAAAAATTGCTACATTTCTAAAAAAATTACCAAAAACAGCCACGTTTAAAAATTACTAAAATTCATTACATTTCTTAAAAATTACTAGAAATTGGTACATTGAAAAGTTACTAAAAATAGCTGCATTTAGAAGTAATTAAAAGTTGCTACATTTCTAAACAAATATTTAAAAACAGTCACATTAAGAAATTACTAAAAATTGCTACATTTCTTAAAAATTACTAGAAATTGGTACATTGAAAAGTTACTAAAAATAGTTACATTTAGAAGTAATTAAAAATTGCTACATTTCTAAAAAAATTACCAAAAACAGCCACGTTTAAAAATTACTAAAATTCATTACATTTCTTAAAAATTACTAGAAATTGGTACATTGAAAAGTTACTAAAAATAGCTGCATTTAGAAGTAATTAAAAGTTGCTACATTTCTAAAAAAATATTTTAAAACAGTCACATTAAGAAATCACTAAAAATTGTTACATTTCTTAAAAATTACTAGAAATTGGTACATTGAAAAGTTACTAAAAATAGCTACATTTAGAAGTTACTGAAAATTGCTAAATTCCTAAAAAAATGACTGAAAAACAGTCACATTTGAAAATCACTAAAAATTGCTACATTTTTTAAAAATGACTAGAAACCAGTACATTGAAAAGTTACTAAAAGTTGCTACATTTCTTAAAAATTACTAGAAACTAATACATTGAAAAGTTACTAAAAATAGCTACATCTCGTATAAAAATTTCTAAGGAAATAGAAAAATATTTCAATTGCAAGTGAAGCAATTCATCAGTTTATAAAATTAAATTTCAGCGAAAGCTGAATAAACTCGGAATAACAAGTAATACTAATTTTCTGAATTCGTTCACTATTCATTCAGTTTCTTTCTGCACAAGTATTTATACGCATTCGAAATCGATACGCCACGGTAACATTGCATAAGTATCAGAATTATTCATTTGATTATTACATAAAATCGAAGACTTCCGTATGACGATTGATGATTATACAAGATAAAAACAATAATTGACAGAAATTGAAAGTGAACACGTCCGATTTCGCAAATTTCCATATTGCGAATATTATACGAGTTCTGGTAGAATAAATTATATCGTAATTTTAAGGTATCGATTTGAAAACGTGATAATCGAGAGATTCTTTGGTTAAATTACAGAAAATTGATGTATGATTTACTTTTTATGGAACTCAGATAAAATGAAAGAAAATTTTTTCAAATTACTTCCTTGGCGTATGTTCTTCTTCGTTCGTGGTTTTTTATTTTCACTGGAAAACCTGTGATCGCTGCTTAACGCATTTAGATAATGCGGCTTTCTAACCTGTAATAACCTAACCTCTACTTAGGGCACTTCCTTTACAACGTATCGACTTCTGAACACTTCAGCAATTGATTTCTTATAAATATATTAATCAAAATTAATAAAAACTTCCTGTGTAAAATTTCATCTAATTGAAATTTAAATAAAAAATTATCTAAAGTGTTGAATAATTATCTAAAATTATTCTTGCGTTTATAAAATGGGATATTTATTGTCGGACAAAATTGTGTTCTTACATTTTAAAAATATTTTAAATAGTTTCTCATTACTTTTTTATATTTTTCCTTTATATTCAAAATAGACTAAAATGTCCTCCCACATTTCAATTAAAATTTAAGCCAAAATTTTTATCTACCTCTACATTCTTTCATTTTAATTTTACTCATAAAATAATCCAATATATCAAATAAAATATTCTGCCCTTAAGTTTTCCTAAGTACTCCAAAATATTTCTAAAGCAATCCTTTAAAAATAATATCTAAAATCTAATATTTAATAATAATATTTAAAAATAATTTGCAAAATTTTCTCATCAGTTATTTTTAACCAACACACATTAAAAACGTCCTTGCCTCGTAAATTCCAATTAAAAATGAAATTTCATCTGGCGTGCAGAAAATTGCATTCGCTAATGTAACACGCGCCAAATGGTTGCAGACGCAACGTCAATTTAGACCGATGACGTCAGTGGTGTGGCAATTTTGAATCTTCGCACGAGATGAGCGAGACGAACGTGAGAACCATGAGACATCCTGTCCACGTTCCTCGATCTTCCTGATATTCTTATCCGTTATGAACGACTTGGTCTTCTAGAACGAGTTTGCGATACTTGTTTCAATAATCTTCGCAGAATACGTTCTTTTTGTACGCTTTTCAGAAACCTTTATTTTTTATCTATACTCCAGGTAATGATTCTTCGTTGAGATATTCAGTTATAATATTATGTAATCATGGTTTCCTTTCCTTGTGAAACCTTTGGAGGAATATCTGGGATTTTGTATTTGGGTTTTTAATTTGTTTTTTGGAACTTTTGTGATTTGAAATTTGGGAATTTTGGGGACTTTGGGGATTTGAGGGCTTGAGGGATGAGAAATTTGGGGTTTTGAGAATTTGGGGAGTTGAGGAGTTGGGAATTATGGGATTTAGGGATTTAAGGAGTTGGGAATTAAAGGATTTGGGGATTTAAGGAGTTGGAAATTAAAGAATTTGGGGGTTTAAGTAGTTGGAAATTTGAGGAGTTGGAAATTAAAGGGTTTGGGGATTTAAGAAGTTGAAAATTAAAGGGTTTAGGGATTTAAGGAGTTGGAAATTATAGAATATGGGGATTTAAAGAGCTGCGAATTTGAGGAGTTGGAAATTAAAGGGTTTGGGTATTTAAGAAGTTGGAAATTAAAGGATTTGGGGATTTAAGGAGTTGGAAATTGAAAAATATGTGGATTTAAAGAGTTACAAATTTGAGGAGTTGGAAATTAGAGGGTTTGGGTATTTAAGAAGTTAGAAATTATAGAATATGGGGATTTAAAAAGTTGGGAATTTGAGGAGTTGGAAATTAAAGGATTTGGGGATTTAAGAAGTTGGGAATTAAGGGGTTTGGGGATTTAAGGAGTTGGAAATTAAAGAATATGTGGATTTAAAGAGTTAGGAGTTTGAGGAGTTGAAAATTAAAGGGTTTGGGTATTTAAGAAGTTAGAAATTATAGAATATGGGGATTTAAGGAGTTGGAAATTAAAGAATTTGGGGGTTTAAGTAGTTGGAAATTTGAGGAGTTGGAAATTAAAGGGTTTGGGTATTTAAGAAGTTGGAAATTAAAGGATTTGGGGATTTAAGGAGTTGGAAATTAAAGAATTTGGGGGTTTAAGTAGTTGGAAATTTGAGGAGTTGGAAATTAAAGGGTTTGGGTATTTAAGAAGTTGGAAATTAAAGGATTTGGGGATTTAAGGAGTTGGAAATTAAAGAATTTGGGGGTTTAAGTAGTTGGAAATTTGAGGAGTTGGAAATTAAAGGGTTTGGGTATTTAAGAAGTTGGAAATTAAAGGATTTGGGGATTTAAGGAGTTGGAAATTGAAAAATATGTGGATTTAAAGAGTTACAAATTTGAGGAGTTGGAAATTAGAGGGTTTGGGTATTTAAGAAGTTAGAAATTATAGAATATGGGGATTTAAAAAGTTGGGAATTTGAGGAGTTGGAAATTAAAGGATTTGCGGATTTAAGGAGTTAGGGTTTTAAAGGGTTGTTCATTAAAGGATTTGAGGATTTAAGGAATTGGAAATTAAAGAATATAGGGATTTAAAGATTTGGGGATTTAACGAGTTGGGAATTAAATAATTTGAGGATTTAAGGAATTGAAAATTAAAAGATTTGAGGGCTTGCAAAGTTAGAAATTTAGGTATAGGAAAATTTGTGGATTTTGAAATTTAAGGATTTGGGGATTTGTGACACAGGAAATTTAGAATATTGGAAACTTGAGAATTTGGGAATTTAAGGAATTGAAACCTTAAGAACTAGAAACCTACCAGCCTAAAAAACTCTCAAAAAACAACAAACCTCATAAACCAAAGATACTTCCTAAATATTAATCCTTGAAAATGATATTTAATGTTACAGAATCGAGACGCATGAGAGTCGATACCGGGTGAACGTTATCAGGTGAGGGCGCAGCAGCTTCCGGCGAGGCGAAAGATGGCGGCCGACGGTATGGATAATCCGGCGTTCATCGGCGAGGATGATTCTACGAACAAGACGAAGCAAGATGACAATCAGCAACAGGTAACCTTGGACCAGGATCGCAAGTCGATGACGGAGAGCATCCCTGTAGAAAATGGCCACCAACGATCGTTTGTGTCGCAGCAACACGTGGAAGGCGGAAGAACGAGTCCGGAACCTCATTATAGGACCGAGACGAAGATAGAACTACCAGAAAACAATGCGGATAGAACCGAAACAAAGATGAACGGTGTTCATGGAAACGGGAATAATAACGATGCGAGTTTTCTTAATAGCAGTGCGACTAGTGTGCAGAGTAATGGTGAGTACATTTCATTAATTTTATTATTCACAATTCATAACTTATACTTTATAATTTATAATTTATGAGTCATAATTCATAATTCATAATTTATGTTTTTGATATTTGGTTCATTTTTTATGATGACATTGGGAGAATGTTCGGTCTGGTTGTTGAAAGAAGTTTGGTTAGCTGCTTAATTAATATGATTATGAGAATGTGTGTATTTTGGTGTTTGACTGAAACAAGATGGCTGTGAAACGATTTGAAACAATTTGATTTTTAAATAATTTGAAATAATTCAAATTTGAAATGGTTTGACATAGTTTGACAAGGTTTAAACCTTATGTAATTAATTACCTAATAGTATTGCACAATGGCACTTGTGACATGTCAAGTTAAAGTTTGGAGATCGGTAAAAGTCGGCCATGATGGTTTGCTACTATTCGTAATATAAAATGGCTGACTGTTGCAACATAATGGTGACTAATTTTGTTACATAAAAGAATGTGATACAATTTGATGACATAAAAGTGTTGCAAAATGGCACTTATAATACGTCAATTTAAAGCTTGAGACTCAAGGAAAGTGACCACGTATGTATTTCACTAATATTATTCATACAAAATGGCCGACTGTCGATGCCAACCTAACACTTATCAATTTTTGAGGCATAAGAAGTTTGTTATAGTTTGATGACATAAAAGTATTACAAAATGGCACTTATGATACATCAATTTAAAGCTTGAGACTCAAGGAAAATTACCACGAATATATTTCAGCAATATTATTCATACAAAATGGCCGACTGTCGATGCTAATCTAATACTGACCAATTTTTAAGACATATGAAGTTTGACTTAGTTTGATGACATAAAAGTTTCACAAAATGGCGGTTATGATACATCAATTTAAAGCTTGAGACTCAAAGAAAGTGGCCACGTATGTATTTCAGCAATATTATTCATACAAAATGGCTGACTGTCGATGTCTACCTAACACTGACCAATTTTTGAGACATATGAAGTTTGATATAGTTTGATGACATAAAACTTTCACAAAATGGCGTTTATGATACATCAATTTAAACCTTGAAGTTTCCTGTATCTTATTACATAAAAGTTTCATACATATACTATTCTCAACACAAAATAATCGATGAACAATTGCAACAAGTAATATCTAAATTTTAACATAGTTAAATATATTTTAATGACATAATTCTGCAAAATAAAACTAAAAAACAGCAAATAACTATAAAACCTATTTAAGAAATTCCCTTTTATTTTCACTCAGTACCTCCAAGAAACTAACAAACTTCAAAGTATCAAAAAAGTATTATTTTTAACTTTCCTCATCTTTTTTCTTTAATATTAAAAACCTCCCTATTATTCATTACACACAAATATAAACAAGTATGCACGATCGCGATTATGTTTTACGCTCAACGGATTGCACGCGACCGTCTGATCGCGCAAAGAAGAAAAATGCAACAGGCGCGTAGCTTTTTTGTCGCGAAGAATTTTCTCTGCATTCGTCGGTGAAAGACTGTGGTCTACGCTTACGTAAACCACACCTTTTTTCGTTCTTTTACTCGTGAGCAGGGTCTCTGAAATGAGTTGCAAAATTGAAAAAGGAACTTGGTGTACCGGTGTTGTTCAACTGGATCTCCATCTTTGGTCCTCGTTACGGATTACCATAGTCATTATTTCGGACATTTGCAATTCTGTTTTTTATCTTGTATTGATTTGTCAAAGTTAATTAAAGGAGTGAGTTTGGAGGAAATGGGAGGAAGTTTAGGAAATTTATTGTGAATGTGATAGAAAGAGTCGTGTGTTGCATATGACAAGGTGAGGTTATGTGAAGTTTTAGGGTTTGAGGTTGGGTGAAGTTTTAGGGTTTGAGGTTGGGTGAAGTTTTGAGGTTTGAAGTTATGTGAAGTTTTAAGGTTTGAGATTATGTGAAGTTTTGAGATTTGAAGTTATGTGAAGTTTTGAAGTTTGATGAAAATTAGTTAGGCTAATTTTGAGAAATTATTAGCTGATTTTTGGAGGACCAATTGTTAGTATATTAACTCCTAAATTTCTAAATTTCCAAATACCTAAATTTACAAATTACTACATCCCCAAATTACTAAATAAGCAAATTTCTATATTTACTAATTCTCAGATCCCCCAATTACCAAACCACTAAATTAAAAAATTTCCAAATCCATAAATTTGCAAATCACTACATCCCCCAATACCTAAAGTTTCAAATTCCTAAATAAGCAAATTTCTATATTACTAACTCTGAGATCCCCCAATTACTAAACCCTTAAGTTTAAAAATTCCCAAATTCAAAAATTTCCAAATCCATAAATTTGCAAATTACTACATCCCCCAATACTTAAATTTTCAAATTCCAAAGTGAGCAAATTTCTATATTTACCAACTCTCAGATCCCCCAATTACCAAACCCCTAAATTAAAAAATTTCCAAATCCACAGATTAGAGTACCAAATTTCCAAATTCCAAAATTTCCAAATACCTCCACTTCCAAGTTCCAAAATTTCCAAATACCTCAATTTCCAAATTCCCAAATTCCACACTAAATTAATACTACAATAAATTTGTCAAATATCTATTACAATATTTTTCAATCTAACATCATCCTAATTTTTCTCCCACATATATTAAACTTCTCAAAATAAAATAATCCCAAAATTTGTCAACCATACATCACAATATTTTTCAACCTGCCATCACTCTAAATTATCTACAATATTAATATATTTGGAAGTAATTTTAAGCTTTTGATCACGTATTAAAAATGTTAAAGGACCGTCCATACAGATATTCCGCGCGTTTCACCGACCTCGAACGACTTTTTCTTGGCAAGTTCCAATGGTGGTGATGATGGTGGTGGTAGTAATTAACGATCGAAAGTTCGGCTCGTCTCGATCATATCTGGTAAAATCGTGCGATCGACGCAGATTTCAGCAACCCGTATTATTTCTCCCTGGTCTACCTTGCTTTCGAATTCTACGCACGTTCGAACATATTTCTTTGGTTCGCTTGAAACATAGAACTTTTATTATTCGATCTTTTATGGAGACGCAATCATTTGTAGAACCTGTGTTCTTGCGTTTGGATTGTTTCGGAAGTATTTGAGGAAAAATGTATTATGGCGAATTTACAAAATTGGGACGTTAAAAAATTAGAACACATGTAATATTTTTATATAAAAATAACAATACGATAAATCAAGTCAATTTCGATAGAAATAAGAATGAGGTATATCAATTCAAGTTTGATAAAAATAAATATAAAATAAATTAATTAAAATTGAGGAAAATAGAAATAAAATAAATCAATTCAAGTTTGATGAAAACAAATATAAAATAAATCAATTCAAGTTTGATAAAAATAAATATAAAATAAATCAATTAAAATTAAGTAAAAATAAAATCAATAGCATTTTATTTTTATTTATTCACCTTTGTTACCGTGATCCATATATGTATAAGTATCCAAATTATATAATTTTGTATAAATAGTTCCTTCACTACATTATCTAATCTTCACAGAAAAAATATATATTTAGAATTGAGATACGATCGATAGATTTGACCCGACTGACCACTTAACAATATCGCATACATTTATCTATTTTTATGTACACAAAAAGATGATCTAACACTGAGAAATAAACACTGAGAAGTGTACCCGTTTCTGGGTCAAAATTGACTCAGTCAATTTTCATAAATAAATTGTTTTATATGGGAAGCTAGATAAATGATATTAATACAAAGATAAGTTACATAAATGTACCGTTTATTTTTAAAGTAGTGTAAGTGCATTTGCATGAATATTTTATAATAGTTAAATCACCTAAAACAAATTTTTATAATCAAATTACATAATAATTAATCAGTAAAATTTCTGAATTGTCTTCATAAATAACCTATATTTTTCATTGCATATGTGCTAACCTAGAGGTTAGGTTAGGTTAGCATAACCTAAAGATTAGGTTAGATTAGCATAACCTAAAGGTTAGGTTAGGTTAGCATAATTAATAAATTGATCAATCAGTAAAATTTCTGTATTGCCAGTTTTCATATAATAACCTATATTTTTTCATTGCATATATACTAACCTAAAGGTTAGGTTAGGTTAGCATAACCTAAAGATTAAGTTAGATTAGCATAACCTAAAGTTTAGGTTAGGTTAGCATAATTAATAAATTGATCAATCAGTAAAATTTCTGTATTGCCAGTCCTCATATAATTAACCTATACTTTTCCATTGCATATATTCTGATCTAGAGGTTAGGTTAGGTTATGCTCACCTAACCTAATCAATAAATTGATCAATCAATAAAATTGCTGAATTGATCAATAAAATTACTGAATTGCCAGTTTTCATATAATTAACCTATATTTTTCATTGCATATATGCTAACCTAGAAGTTATGTTAGATTATACTAACCTAACCTAATCAATAAATTGATCAATCAATAAAATTACTGAATTGCCAGTTTTCATATAATTAACCTATATTTTTCATTGCATATATGCTAACCTAGAAGTTATGTTAGATTATACTAACCTAACCTAATCAATAAATTGATCAATCAATAAAATTGCTGAATTGCCAGTCTTCATATGATTAACCCATATTTTTCATTGAATATATGCTAACCTAAAAGTCAGGATAGATTATGCTAACCTAGAGGTTAGGTTAAGCTAACCTTTAATTTTCCCAAAATAAATAAAAATGTATTCACACCACTTTCAATAAACGATCGACATATAAATCAACCGACAACAAAGATAAATTATACATTTTCTTTTCCCTTTTTCTGTAATAAAAGAATAAATAAAAATTTCGCATACACGGTCGTCCAAAGTTCTGTTAAGTGCGTGTTTACGTAATTTTCAGGTGTGGAAATTATAGTATCGCGGCAAAGTATTTATTTACGGGGCGGAACCTCGCGTGCCGTAAAATCGATGTTAATAGGAGAAGAAGTTAGTTAATTGCGTGTTCACATGTGGATAGTTCAAAAGTCGATGTACTGTTATTGAGTAATATTCGCGGTTATATAGTTGAAGATTTTGTATTATATTACACGCGTGAAATTTAATTGTTACGTACCGTTAACGATGCTAATTGTAAACGAAAAGAACAACAAACGAGCGGGTAATTTAATGCTCTAATGAATAAATGTTATTATGCAGCTGCAATTTATGGGGTACAATGTCTCCGTTTAGGAAAAATAAGTTGAACGTTGGTTTTTGAACGAAAGCTAATTTTATTGTTATATTTTGTATTTGTACGTGGTTAAATTGATTCAATTTTTATTTGCGTTGATTGGGTTAATTTTATTTTTATTTTTAATCAATTTTAATTGACTTATTTTTGTTTGTACCGAATTTTAATTAATTTATTTCAGAATCGGAAATCAGTAGATTTTCAATTCTTCTAGTACTAGCAAAATAATTGACCCATTAAACTTGTACTAACAAAGTAATTGACCTACGAAATTTGTACTAACAAAATAATTGAACAATGGAACTTGTACTAACAAAATAATTGACCAACTGTTCTAGTACTAACAAAATAATTGACTCATTAGAATTGTACTAACAAAATAATTGACCTACGAAACTTTTACTTACAAAAAAACTGACCAATTGTTCTAGTACTAAAAAATAATTGGCTCATGAAATTTGTATCAACAAAATAATTGATCAATGAAACTTGTACCAACAAAATAATTCACCAATTATTCTAGCATTAACAAAATAATTGACCAATTAGAATTCTACAAAGAAAATAATTGACCTATGAAACTTGTACTTACAAAATAACTGACCAATTGTTCTAGTACTAACAAAATAATTGACCCATTAGAATTGTACTAACAAAATAATTGACCTATGAAACTTGTACTTACAAAATAACTGACCAATTGTTCCAATACTAATAAAATAATTGACCCATGAAATTTGTACTAACAAAATAATTGGCCAATTGTTCTAGGACTACCAAAATAATTGACCAATTGTTCTAATATTAACAAAATAATTGACCAATTGTTCCAGTACTAATAAAATAATTGACCCATGAAATTTGTGCTGACAAAATAATTGGCCAATTGTTCTAGTACTAACAAAATAATTGACCAATTGTTCTAGTATTAACAAAATAATTAACCCATTAAACTTGTACTAACAAAATAATTGCCCAATTAAACTTTTACTAACAAAATAATTTCCCAACTAACCTTGTACTAACAAAATAATTGCCCAATCAAACCAGTACTAACAAAATAATTTCCCAATTTAATTTTTTAACACACACTCTCCTTCTCTCATAAATAACCCACTTCAAAACCATAAACAAACAACTTATCATTAAAATCACCAGATCAAATACTTCACATCCTTATCAAAATATGTAGATAACAACTCTCTTGTTCTATTATTGCAGATACCGGAAAAAAAGAGCAAATTGAGGCAGTAAATTTGGAACTAGTCTCAATGAGGCCCTACGCAGGCAATAATCTTCAAACGAAGGGTCAAGAAGCTTGCGAAGTTCCAGCTGACCCCTACGAAGAATATTTCGTTCCAGTGAATGAACATCGAAAGTACATCAGGTAAAGAACACCTAAACATGTCTATTCTATTTTTATACTTCGTGTATGTTCGACTACTTCCTTGGCTGTTCGATATTGAATCACGTTGAACGAGGCCGGAAGAGGTAAAGTTAGGAGCTTGAAGAAACAAGCGGACGGTGGTGATTTTTTAAAGAGGGTAATGTGGTGCTGTTAGACTATATTTAGGGATAATAATTATTGAAATTTGGGGGTTTGCGAGATTGGAAATAGGGAAATTTGGGATTTGGGGAAATTGGGATACGGAGAATTTGGGATTTGGGGGATTTGGAATTTGGGGAATTTGGGATTTGGGGAATTTGGGATTTGGGGAATTTGGGATTTGGGGAATTTGGGATTTGGGGAATTTGGGATTTGGGGAATTTGGGATTTGGGGAATTTGGGATTTGGGGAATTTGGGATTTGGGGAATTTGGGATTTGGGGAATTTGGGATTTGCGGAATTTGGGATTTAGGGAATTTAGGATTTGGGGAAATTGGGATACGGGGAATTTGGGATTTGGGGGATTTGGGATTTGGGGGCTTTGGGATTTGGGGGATTTGGGATTTGGGGGATTTGGGATTTGGGGGTGTTAGGCTCAGGAAGTTAGGGACTTTGGCAGTTTGGGACTTCGAGAGTGTTAGGCTCAGGGAGTTAGGGACTTTAGGAGTTTTGGACTTTGAGAGTTTGGAAGCTTGAGAGTTTTGGACTTTGGGAGAGTAGAACTTATAGAGTATTAGACTCTGGGAGTTAGGGAAACTTAAAGAATTTGGGAATGTAAAAATAAATTTAGAAAATCTGAAACTCATAAAATTAATGATCCAAAAAATTAAATTTCGACATCATACTAAACTGATTTCATCAAAATGAACATCAACATCAGATTCATGAATTATTCAAACAATTTCGTTCTCGTAAACGAAAATGATGAACCGTTCTGTTGATTTCACTAAACTGGACACTGCTTCGTAAATTCGCAATCTCGTTCCATTAATTTCAATATTTACTCGTTTTATTTACCATTCTCTGTTTCTTTGCTTCGATCTTCGCAAATGCTAATATATTCCTAGATCCTTCACATTTTTGCAATATGGAAATTTTATGGTAAAACGGCTAATTCCATTTCTTATAACAATTCCTGCATTCTGACAGTAAATAATTATACTTCTTTTTTAAATCTACCGCCATTTTGAACTATTCTCTACTAGAATTCTATTCAATCATTTTATTTTATTGTTTCACAAAAATACAAATATTAACAAAATTCATTGTTACTATTATTTTATTACTACTATTATTTTTATTAGAAACCTTTATATTTGATGATTTACTTAATTTATTTATTATTTAAAGCTTATGAAAACTTGTACTGCAAACATTTTACTTATAAATTAATTAACTCAATAATTAATTTAGTTCAATTTTTTAGGCAATTTTGATATGATAAACTGTGATAAATAATAATAAAAATAATACCAAATACTGAAATTATCAAAAATGTTCAAAATTAATCGTCTACCTATAATCAACCATCTACCTCTAAAATTTGTTACACATTTATTGTCTTTTCCTATAATATTTAATAAATTGCAACACTCTTCTAATAATAATTTAAATTGTTTCAAATGTTTAAATCAACTTTTTATAACAATTAAAATTAAGCAATGTTTTCTGTATCTCCCTGCATCATAATGCGAGCACAATATCATATCAAGATGGCGTCGAAACGAACGCGTGTCAATCAGATGATGTCTCCAGTTAATATGGAACGAGCACGTCCGAGAAACTTGATATTGGACGGTTTGTATCGAATTGAAAAACGATCCAGATCGCGTCGATCGTGTACAGACGTGGGAAATGCAAATGTATGAACTAAAAGAAAAAAAAAATTGCGGATACTGGCGGAACGAACGAAGGTCCTCGGATATTGCGGGTTACATTCACCGTTGGAAGAACTTGCGAAACGAATGTGTCACAATATTTCATAGGAAAATACGGGAATGACCGTCTATTGCAAAAATGATCGTCCTTCGTCGTGTTTTGATCGAACATAACGCTATATATTTCGAGATTCTCTTTAATACGTTTTCGACACTTTGACTGCCACTTAAATGACCGTCCTTTAAATGGACGCTTATCTAATTCAAAATTAAATTAAATTTATTATAATCTTGGTATTATGACTTTTTATTTACTTGTAATTGTTGTTGATAAAGGTAATAAAATATTGCAAGGATGTTTATTGAAATTCGTAAAAAATTAAAAAATGTAAAAATAATATTAGTTAGAATTCAATTTAAATTGAATTAAAGTTGTATGGCAGTCAGTGTGTTATTTTAGTTTGCAAGATAGTGTCGTAGTTCACTTTCTCGCTTGCTTCTCGTTCGATAGACATCGAGGTTGAGGTATTTCGAGAATTGAAATATATAGAAACTAGTCTGAGACCTTCGCTAGGAGCAAAGCTACCTCCTCTAAAAATCCCCAGACTCTCTCCAACGCAATGTACATATGTACATAAAATTACAGAAGAATAATTCTCTAAACCAAACGTACCATAACCTTTTCAACATCTCCCAAAAAGACAGAAAGAACCCCCATAAATCCCCGTCACATAAATGAATCCTAAAAATAAGAATTCCGCCAAAAGTTAGGAACTAGAGCAATCTCCGCGCGAAGGGCGATAGAGTGGAATTAGAGCTTGATCGCCGCAAATACACAAAGATCACACACAAAACACGTACACAGGCCAGCTGAGTAGAAAGTTAGACGGTGTTTTTTGTTGTCACGATACCTAGCAGGGGTCCCGAGGCCGAGGTTGAAACAACCGTGGCTGGAGTACGTTTTGATTTGGGCCCCGGCGTTGGCCGCGAGGGACTCAGCCTGAGAGACCCTGCTGCCGGACTGGTCGACTATTCCCACTGGCTGACAGCCCTCAGGTACTTCAAGGATGCTTACGAGGATGAGGAACAAGGGAGCAATGAAAATGGTGGATGCGCACGATCGCGAACTAACCCTGCTTACACCCCTGCTACTCCCACCATTCTGTCGACATTGGCGGATGTTCACTAATTTCGTTCTCAATGAAATATGTCGTTCAAAGTACCATGATAATATTTGATCAAAATGATAGACTTAACCCTTAAACCTTTGAGATGTTCTAAACCTAAATGTAGACTAAGATGCAAACCTAAATGTAGACCTGAGATGTAAACCTAAGAGGTAAACCTAAGAGGTGTTCACCATTTCTATAATTACGTCCATAGTTTCACAATTGCACCCCACATTCAGCATCCCTAACCACCAGAACAACCTTAGTTATTCTCCCAAGTGACTTAAAAAGAAAAGAAACTCGAAACGTCCTACTTTTTACAATTTTTTCGAGACGTAATATTACCACATTAGGTTTGAGCTTCCAAACGACACATTTCAACGAGAACGAAATTCACAAGCATTCGAGAGTTCAATGTCTGATCCTTCCCAAAGATGGAATGCAATTCACTGATCCTAGCGATTGCACCGTGACGACGTAGAGAAGGCTAGTCCAGCTGGAAGTTTATGTTTTTTTTTCTTGCAAAGGATACTCAGAACGCTTGAAGGTTCGCACAATCCCGTAGTCGCTAAATCAGCATCAGTCACCGAATCATCTTAACACCTGTGTATAAAAGAAACACTAGAGACTCCCTACACACGGACACAATCACATTCTTCATGGAACACACGGTTCCTTCGTCCAGAACAGACTTGAACGTTTCGAACGAGAGCAGGGTAGAATAAGCGACACGAAGCTGAACGAAATAATTAGATGTGAGAGATAGAACATTGGTGTCTGTTCGTTTAGGGAAGCTTCTAATACTGGTCGCTGAAGAAGGACAAGCACAGTGCTGTACAAATTACGCTTAATATGGGGTCTAGGATGAGGGTGAAGCGATGTGGAGGATGATGATCGTTCTTAATTCGCGGTGACATTGTGTTTCAGGGGCGAGAAGCTGTATGTCACGAAGGATAAGAGATCTAGGAGCTCGTATTGGAGACGGATGGCGTGCTGGGGATGCGGATTGCTGGTACTACTGGTCGCCATTATCCTTGCGACTTTGGCTGCAAGTAAGGAACTTTTGGATTTTATTGTGGTTGCGGAGGTAACTGTAGAAAAAACCACTAAACTTCATACTCTTAACGTGGGAAACTCTTGAAATTCTTAAAGTCTTAAGCACCACAGTCCTTCACATCCAAGGTCCTTCATATCCAAAGTCTTTCACATCCAAAATCCTTCACATCTAAAGTCTTTTAGTCCTGAAGTCCACGTCTTGCAATGTTCCTAACTCAATCAGAGTCTAACACTCCCAATGGCCAAAACTCTCAAACTCTCAAACTTTTGAAGTCCACATCTTGCAATGTTCCTAACTCAACCAGAGTCTAACACTCCCAATGGCCAAACCTCCCAAGCTTCCAAACTTTTGAAGTCCACATCTCCCAGTGTTCTTAACTCAACCAGAGTCTAACACTTCCAATGACCAAAACTCTCAAGCTTCCAAACTTTTGAAGTCCACATCTTGCAATGTTCCTAATTCAACCAGAGTCTAACACCCTCAAAGTCCCAAACTCCTAAAGTCCAAAACTCTCAAGGTTCCAAACTGTCCACATCCACATCTCCCAAAGTCCCTAACTGTCCTAGAGTCTAACACTCTCAAAGTCCCAAACTCCTAAAGTCCAAAACTCTCAAGCTTCCAAACTCTCCAAATCCACATCTCTCAAAGATCCTAACTGCTTTAGAGCCTAACACTCTCAAAGTCCCAAACTCCTAAAGTCCAAAACTCTCAAGGTTCCAAATTCTTCAAATCCACATCTCCCAAAGTACCTAACTCCCCTAGAGTTTAACACTCTCAAAGTCCCAAACTTTCAAAGTCCAAAACTCTTAAGCTTCCAAACTTTCGAAGTCCACATCTTCCAAAGTCCCTAACTCCCAGAGTCTAATACTCTATAAGTTCTACTCTCCCAAAGTCCAAAACTCTCAAGCTTCCAAACTCTCAAAGTCCAAAACTCCTAAAGTCCCTAACTCCCTGAGCCTAACACTCTCGAAGTCCCAAACTGCCAAAGTCCCTAACTTCCTGAGCCTAACACTCTCAAAGTTCCAAACTCCCAAAGTCCCAAGCTTCCAAAGTCCCAAACTCCCAAGGTTCCAAACTTCCAAAGTTCCAAACTCCCAAACTCCCAAACTCCCAAAGTCCCAAACTCCCAAAGTCCCAAACTCCCAAAGTCCCAAACTCCCAAAGTCCCAAACTCCCAAAGTCCCAAACTCCCAAAGTCCCAAACTCCCAAAGTCCCAAACTCCCAAAGTCCCAAACTCCCAAAGTCCCAAACTCCCAAAGTCCCAAACTCCCAAAGTCCCAAACTCCCAAAGTCCCAAACTCCCAAAGTCCCAAACTCCCAAAGTCCCAAACTCCCAAAGTCCCAAAGTCCCAAACTCCCAAAGTCCCAAACTCCCAAAGTCCAAAACTCCCAAAGTCCCAAGTCCCAAACTCCAAAGTCCCAAACTCCCAAAATCCCAAACTCCCAAAATCCCAAACTCTCAAAGTCCCAAACTCCCAAAGTCCCAAACTCCCAACGTCCCCCACTTCCAAAGCCCCCAACTCTCAAAATCCAAAACTCCCAAAGTCCCTACCTTGTAACCTCCCCAAATCCCAAGATCCAACACTCCCAATCTCCCAAACTACCATAATCCAAACCCAAAACCCCAAACTCGCAATCCTGCCACCCACATCATCAATCTCCCTCTCCAAAGTCAAACAAGCATAACCTCAACGACTTCTTCTATTACAGCCGGGGTAATCTTGACCCAAGAAGCATCAGAGCCACTAGAGAATCTGGAGCAGACGAAATCCCGGCAGTTCGGCGACGTACGAACGGCAGGAAGTCAAGAGTACGTGAAGGACCCACCCCCGAGTCCTCCGCCCGCAACATCGAGTTTCCCTCCCTGGCCGACAACCGATGAGACCATGTACAACTTCTTCGTTCCGAACGCGTTGGATGGAGTGTTGATGTTGGACGAGTTCCCCTGGGACCCTGAATTAAGGAGTAACACGTCGAGAGTGTATAGAGAGGTCAGCATGGAGCTGGAGAAGCACCTTAGGGACATGTTGCAGCCCGCGAGCAACGAGACGATGATTAAGGTGTACCGTATAATGGAGGACGGCGAGGTGGGATTCAGAATAAATTACCCGCCACGGTCAGTGCCGAAGGAGACGCAGCAGGCGTTCGAGGAGACGTTGCAGAAGACTGGGAACATGCTTGGACAGTATCACCTGAGCAGACTCGAAGTGAAGAACCTTTGGGACGAGTGTCAGACGGGGCGGTTGGAATGTGCCGAAAATTGCAGATACAATTACACTTCAGGTACGTTTGGTTGCTATTGTGCACCTGGCAAGATGTTGGACTCCAATGGGAAGAGCTGCATCGAGGAGAATGATCTGAGCAACGTCGAAATGGAGGATGAAACTGCGGAGGTTCACACGGAGGTGGTGCAGGATGTGGTTCAGCCCAGAAGCAGGGGACACGCGGCGCACGAACCTTGGCCAGACTGGGATCACAATACTGAAAAGATACATTACGACAGTGCGCATCCACATGCAGATAATGGATTCACGGAACCAAAGACACATGTGGATCATGAGCATGGGGTCGGAGATGACCCGGCTCACTGGATGCACGATCATTCGAGTCATTATACCGTTGAACCGAAGGCGGAACCTACGGCGGAACCAGAACACTCGACTGGGGAGCTGTCTGGTGAACTGGAATCTACTGGGGCAGAACCTGACAATGAACCGAAAACTGTAGCTGAACCGGAACCTGCTGCGGAGCCTGCTAGTGAACCGGAACCTGCTGCGGAGCCTGCTAGTGAACCAGAACCTTCGGCTGAACCAGAACCTGTTGGAGTGGAACACTCTAGTGAACCTTCTGCTGAACCAGAACCCTCTGCTGAACCAGAACCACCTGTTGGGGCAGAACACTCTAGTGAACCAGAACCTTCTGCTGAACCAGAACCATCTGTTGGAGTAGAACACTCTAGTGAACCAGAACCACCTGTTGCAGTAGAACATTCCAGTGAACCAGAACCACCTGTTGCAGTAGAACATTCCAGTGGACCAGAGCCACCTGTTGGTGTAGAACATTCCAATGAACCCTCCAGTGAACCACAACCTTCTGCTGAACCAGAACCACCTGTTGGTATAGAACATTCCAGTGAACCCTCCAGTGAGCCACAACCTTCTGCTGAACCAGAACCTGCTGGAATAGAGCCCTCCAGTGAGCCAAAACCTTCTGAATCAGAACCCCCTGCTGAACCAGAGCCTTCTGTTGAGCCATCAGCTGAGCCAGAGCCTCCTGTTGTAATAGAACACTCTAACGAGCCTAAGTCAGAACCTCCCACTGAACCAGAACCCTCTGCAGAACCAGAACCTTCTGCAGAGCCAGAGTCTGTTGGAGTAGAATCCTCTAATGGACTTCCTGTTGGAGTGGAGTCATCTAATGAGCCAAAATCAGAACCTTCTGCAGAACCAGAGCCTTCTGCTGAACCTGAACCCTCTGCTACGCCAGAGCCTTCTGCTGAACCCGAGCCAGCTGCAGAACCTGAACCTTCTGCTGCACCAGAACCCTCAGCAGAACCTGAACCTTCTGCTGCACTAGAACCCTCAGCAGAACCTGAACCTTCTGCTGCACCAGAACCTTCAGCAGAACCTGAACCTTCTGCTGCGCCAGAACCTTCAGCTGAACCCCCTGCAGAATCCGTTGAACCCTCAACCGAACCAAAGCCTTCTGAAGCAGAGTCTTCCACTGAACCAAAGCATTCTACTGAAGCAACTCCCTCTCCAGAACCCGAACCTGCTGTTGAACTAGGAGTCTCCCCAGAACTAGGACCCGTAACTGATACACATTCGTCCGTGGAACCTAAAACAAGTACTGAACCAGTTGCTGAGCCTGAACCTACGAGTGAACCCTCCAGTGAACCTAAGCCTGCACAACCTGTTGAAGAACCATTAGCTGAACCTAAAGCTTTAGACGAAAAGGAATCTTCAACTGAACCGATGCCGGCAGAACCCAAACCGGAACCCAAACCTGAGACTGAAACTGTCGCTGAACCTACGCCTTCAAATGAAGTGTCCTCGACGAAATCGACAATGACTGATTCTGAAGAACTTCCTAGCACTACTATTAAGCCTGAGGCACCAGGTGAGGTAGAATCTTCTACTGAACAGGAATTAATTGTACCTCCTGTAGAATCTGGACCTTCTGCTGAAGCAAAGCCTCAAAATGAAGTGGCACACGATGTGGAGCACTCTACTGAATCACAAGATATTATGGAGCCTAAAACAACTGAACAGATGCCTTCTGCTGAACCTATGACCACGAACAAGGTGTCCATTGAATCAGCTACGGAATTACCTGCCACAGAATCACCTGATCTGATGAAGGCACCTGAGTCCTCGACTGTGAGGTCTGAATCTGACAGCACGAATACGCTTATACCTAACGTTCCAAGCATGGAAGCAGACTCTACAACACCAATGATGTCCATAGAAACAACACTGCCAAACGTTGAAAAGCCTGCAGATGAAGTGGTAAACAATGACGCACCCTTACCCGTGATTCCTCTGGTAACAGAAGAGCACATGTCAGATCACTCGAAGACGACTGCTGCACCTCCAGCAGAGACAACGATGATGAACAACGAAGAGATGACAACCTCAAAAGAAGAGACGCCAAAACAGGTCACTGAGGCTAACGTACAAAGAGACGAAGAGTATACAACGATCAGTGTGAGCAACGAGTCAGAATCAAACTCGGTAGCTTCCAGTAGCCAACCTGTTATGCCCGAGGTAGAATCAACCACAAGTTCTGATACCACCTTAGAAAATACAACAGAGATTAATTCCGTCTCGGAAGCTGGTAACACGGAAACTATGTCGCGAGATTTGGGTCAGATATTACCCGAAATGAACGAAACGAACGTCATCGATCACATGCCGACAACACTCTTCCCTAACTTGCCAAAGAACTTCAGCCACAACATCGAGCCTCTGATTGAGCCCATTAAAAACGACACAGAGGAGCACATCATGATCATACCGGTAGAACACACCGAAGTCCAGGATCCACATTCCATCATTCCTGAATTAATTCCGGAAAGCATTCAGCCTACCAACTCATCCACCTGGGTATCTGAAAGCACCACTGCCGAGAACAAGGTTCCATCCTCCACGGAGAAGATCGACGCAGTTCTGAACCACTCTACGATCCACCCTGAAGAGAACATCGTCTCCGGTGATCCAGGTTACGCTGTGCGTTACGAGGAAAACTTGGACCACTCGACTAATCATCCTTTGCACCCTGCAATCTTCCCTGAGAACACTGTGGAGCACGTTACTGAGAAGTCCGAAGTAGCTTATGATAAACATGTCGATGACATGTCACCATTCCTGCCGGACGTTCAGAGGGAGAAGGAGGTGAAGAAGGCACCCAGGCTGGACAAGGACGAGCAGGATGTTCCTAACCCCTTCGAAGGACACGTGGAAGACGTAGTTACTTACAAGCCTTTGATAGAACCCGAAAAAACGAACGAGACTGAACCTAAGGACTCTTTGAACGATGTTCATCCGGAGATTCACTTTATTGAAACGCCTGGTCAGGATGTGAACAAGGATGAGAAGGATGTGAAGGAGGTGAAGGATGTGGACAAGGATGTGAAGGATGTGGACAAGGAGGTGAAGGATGTGGGGAATGAAGTGGGTCGTGGATTCAAGGGAGACGATTTGAACGTCCTCGAAATGAACGACACAGAGTCAGGAATACAGAATGGACTGCATACGTATGACGTCAAAGATGACCAAACGATGAAGAGTGAAGGGTCCGATTTTGAAGAGGACGAAGAAGCTTTAAAGGTGGTGCCACTAGAGGAAGAGATGAAAGATAAGGACAGAACCGTGAAATACACTGTGGATAATTCTGAAGTGACAGAGTCTAGCAAACCTACAGAAGCTGAAGAAGCCATGAACGCAACTACTTCAGAGAAACCTGAAGAGAACGCCGTGGAGGATCAGTACAACGACATAAACGACGACACTCTCTCCAAGTACCAACCTGACAAGCTTCACAAGAAGCTCAAAGACGAGTCCAATAAGCTGGTCATTCTGGATTCCGTAGAAGAGAAGTTGAAAGTGGATGATAAGAAGACGAACGACAGCGAAGTTACCACACCTGGAAGTGTCGATAAGCATGAAGACGCCAGACTGACTACCGAAATCCCAGAGATGCCCATAGAGATACAGCAAGACATGTCCACGACGGAGAAGATCGAAAGCACAACCGTTGAAGACAGAAAGGAGAACGATTCGGACCACCATGAGATCACAACAGTTCAGGTGCCTACTACTCAGACTCTTTCGATGGAGAAGACCACTGCTCAGGTGCCGATACTTCCCGAAGAGCTGCGGACCACCGAGAGCGATTCTTTGACCACCTCGTCCATGAGACCTGAAACGAACATGACTGTGGACGAAGAGAATTCCTCAGCAAACCAAACTGTGGAACATGTAGACGTTCAGAACAACCAGACGGAGAACTTGAGAACTGTACATGTTGCTGAGGTTAGTGATATGGGAAAAATGAACACGAGCGAGACCACACCATCGACACCTAATGAAGAGAACATGAAGAGTATCGCGGAAACTATAATGGCGGAGGCAGCTACCACGGTGATGACGCATAGACAAGGTTTAGACGGCACCACCGAGGATGTCAGGCCAGTCACCGAAATACTGGAAGACGACACCCAGCCTGTGAGCTTCGATTTCAGGACGCACCTCATCACAACAACACCTAGGATCCTGCTAACTGACCTGGACGTAGGAGATCTATCCGAAGAGGACTTAAGAGTGATCCCACTGGAGAAAACGTTGGACCTAAAAAAGAAGTCGACGGACAAGAAAGTTGTTGATAAGTACAAGTACAAGAAGGAGAAGGAGCTGAATCTTGAAGAGGAAGAGAACGTGCTGACAGAAGTCCCAGTCTTCTCCACAGAAACGCCGACTCAAGATGTACCCGAAGTGAAACCAGTGGAAGAAGACTCCGTACCGAAGCTGAAGATCACGGAGACTACGTTCAACCGAACGGAGGACGCTGAGAAAGGCAGCACCAAAAGGTACCCCAGCTTCATACCGGTTTCAGAAGAAATCATAGAGCCGGAACCCGTGACAGAACCCTTTGGAGTCATCCGGAATTTCTATTTTCATCGACAAAGCGACTTCACGACAGAGAACCCGATGGTCAGTGACGAAGGACATACAACGATGGAAGTCAGTGTGGACAACGTAACGGATCAAACTTCTACAATCGAATCAGACTCTTTTCAGGGTGTGAATCGAATGATGAAAGATGAAGCTGTCGCATCCTCGCAGGCTAGACCGGAAACGAGTCACATAGACGTGTCTTTTCTGAATGTTCCTCAGAACGTTGTTTTCTCTAAGTGCACAGCTGGCCAGTTCCAGTGTATTAATGGTACATCTAGGGACGGTGCTTATTGCGTGCCTCTGTCGGCTAAATGTGACTCTGAGAACGATTGTTCTGATGGCTCGGATGAACTGAATTGCAAGGAGGAAGGATGTCCTGAGAATTTCCAGTGTAACAGCGGTCAGTGTCTGAAGAGGGATTTGGTGTGTAATAGGATCGTCGATTGCGATGATGGCAGTGATGAGAAGAATTGTGAGGAATGGAAGTGCCAGTTTGATGAGTTCAGATGTCCTAGTGGTAAGTTGTGGATTGTAGGTTCTTCGAACTCTCACTTTTCCAAATTTCTGAATTGATAAAGAATTCCCAATTTCTTTAGGGTCTAATTTTTGGGTTCACACATCGTAGAATCACTAATTCCTAGGTTCTTAGTCTTTTACTCCTCTGATACCTAGATTCTTCAATCTTTAAAACTGCTAAAAGCTGTATTCACAAGTTTTTAGAACCCCAATTGCTAGACTACGTAATCTCTCAAAAATGCAATCCCTATATTCCCAAATTTCTATGCTCCCTATTCTCTGAAACTTTCAATCCCTATATCTCCAAATCCAAGATTCCCAAATTCCTAAATCCCCTAATTTCGAGATCCTTCAATCCCCAAATCCTCCAAATTCAAAATCCCTAATTTCTACATCCTCCAATCACCAAATCCCCCAAATTCCCAAACCCCCAATTCCTAAATTCCCTAATTTCCACATCCTTCAATTCCTAAAAACTTCAATTCTTAAATTCCCTAATTTCCACATCCTCCAAACTCCAAATCTCCCAAATCCTAAATCCCTAATTTCTACATCCTCCAATCCCCAAATCCCCCAAATCATAAATCCCTAATTTCTGCATCTTCCAATCCCCAAATCCCCCAAATTCCCAAACCCCCAATTCCTAAATTCCCTAATTTCCACATCCTTCAATTCCTAAAAACTTCAATTCTTAAATTCCCTAATTTCCACATCCTCCAAACTCCAAATCTCCCAAATCCTAAATCCCTAATTTCTACATCCTCCAATCCCCAAATCCCCCAAATCATAAATCCCTAATTTCTGCATCTTCCAATCCCCAAATCCCCCAAATTCCCAAACCCCCAATTCCTAAATTCCCTAATTCCCACATTCTTCAATTCCCAAATCCCCCAAATTCCCAAACCCCCCCAATTCCTAAATTCCCTAATTTCCACATCCTTCAATCCCCAAACAATTCTAAATCCCTAATTTCTACATCCTCCAATCCCCAAATCCCCCAAATTCCCAAACCCCTCAAATTCCCAAATCCCCCAAATTCCCAAATCCCCCAAATTTCCAAACCCCCCAAATTCCCAAACCCTCAATTCCTAAATTCCCTAATTCCCACATTCTCCAATTCCCAAATCCCCCAAATTCCCAAACCCCCCAATTCCTAAATTCCCTAATTTCCACATCCTTCAATCCCCAAATCCCCCCAATTCTAAATCCCTAATTTCTACATCCTCCAATCCCCAAATCCCCCAAATTCCCAAACCCCCCAATTCCTAAATTCCCTAATTTCCACATCCTTCAATCCCCAAATCCCCCTAATTCTAAATCCCTAATTTCTGCATCCTTCAATCCCTCCATTCTAAATTCCCAAACCCCCCAATTCCTAAATTCCCTAATTTCATCCTCCAATCCACAAATCCCCAAAAATTCAACAAGTTTGTCCTTCCCTCCACTCCAACATCTCCCCCAACTTAACCAAATTCACTCCAGATAACTTTAACCACAAAAGTCTTAAGAAACAACAACAAAAAAGTAGTTATTGATAGAATAATTAGATGCGAATGGGAATAGTAATTGTCTAACGAAAGAAGTGAAAGGAAAAACTGGCATGCATTAGCATGACCATCGGGCACATGTTTAATATTAATACATTTTGCAATCGGTCAAGCAATGAACGCTCTGATACTGTCGTAAATGATGGTTCTTAGAAACACCTCCGTTATTAATATCACCAGCTATCATTAGAGGAAATTGCTCGTAATGATTACATGGTCGACGTTGAGATATTGCTAAAAGCCTTAAAGGAAGTTCGAAAAGAAATCTTGAATAACTTAAGACTTTTTAGATGCCTCTTGAAGAATCTTAAACGGTTAAGATCGGTTCTTATCACAGATTGTATCATCCTTGAGAGGATCAGGTATCTTTTATAAATGAGCTATTAACTCCGCCATTTTGTAATATTTACACTTCTAAAAAATTGCATTTGAGAGTAGCTTAATGTTAGGTTTTAGCAATTACCTATGAAAATTGCTATATTCTGTAAATGATGTAATGATCCTCTAAATGGTGGTGATGATCCTCTAACCCTTAGCACCTAAGGCTACCGTAATAACCAAAGCGTACTATAATAACAGAATTAAGATTTATGTTCCACAAATTCAGTTTGAGAAAATAATTACAATAGTTAAACCAGTGTGTCATCAAAAATTCTCATTTCAGGAAGGTGCATCCCAGGCATCTGGCAGTGCAATGGCCGTCCGGACTGCGAGGACCACCGAGACGAGTACAACTGCGCCGAAAGTTGTGGCAACAACGAGTATCTTTGTCCAACAGAGAAGTGGTGCATTCCTCTGACGTGGCACTGCAACGGAATCAACGAATGCACCAACGGTGATGACGAAAAACTCTGCGACTGTGGCATCGATCAGTTCAAGTGCCAAGCCGGAGGATGCATCCCGGAGCATCTGGTGTGCGACGGTATAGAACACTGTCCTGATCAATCTGACGAATGGAGCTGTCTATCGATGAACACGGAGAAGAACATAACAGACGCGAAAGAAAACGACGAAAATGGCCAGGAATTAACGGATAGGACCTCGTTGCTGAAAATCAGGTCAGGAGCCATTTTAGTAGTTCTACTTTTGGCTCGTTCAAGTTCTAACAGTGTCTCTATGTTGCAGACAATTTAATGGAGAGCACCGCCTGGTTTGTTCTGACGGATGGAGCGAGGAGTTTAGTGATTCCTATTGCCAGGCTTTGGGATTCTCGGGCTCCGAGACGACGGACCTACAAACGTGGGACAAGAGTCAGAAGATTTTGAGGCTGAAGGCGAATCCGAACCATCGTATGCCGTTGGTCGCGAATCTGGAACGAGTGGAGTTCTGCGTGTCGGACAAAGTTGTGCAAGTCTCATGCCAAGAGTTTTCTTGCGGCTCTCACTATGGAGAGGGTCCTACCGCGAGATTAGTTGGCGGGACTCCAGCTAGCGAAGGGCAATGGTCCAGCGTGGCCTTGTTGAAGGAACCGAAACAGGGTGCTGCTTGTACTGCCAGCATCTTGGGACCTATGCACGTGATTGCGAGCTATTCTTGTACTCACAGGTGAGATTTGGTGCCATAAGGAACATCTGGAGAATTGCAACTAAATCATAACCATAAGAATTGCAACTACATTAAAATTAACAAAACTAACCCCTTATCCTTAATAATAAGTCCAGTAATTGACAGAATTATTGTATGCACCCTTTCATAATTTCAGGTACAGACAGAGCAACGGATGGCAACTGTTCACCGATAAAAACTTACTGAAACCACATCCAGTCAGAAGCATCATTCCATATCCTCAAGTGAAGTACAATCAATTTTTGTACAACAATGATATGGTATTGGTAGAGCTTGAGAAGCCTCTGACCTTCTCAAGAAATGTAAGCGCTGTTTGCCTCCCAAAGGACCCAATTCAGGTTAGTATTTGATGTCATAGATGAGTGTATTAGTTGTGAGAATGTGCGTGAAATATTTGTGCCCTTTGATGCTTCAGCCAAGGCAAATATGTGTCACGGTGGGATGGGGATTCCCTGTGAATGGGGAGGTGGATTTGCAGAAGTATCTGACGTTCTTGCCAGTGCCAACTTATGATTCCGAAAAGTGTAATGCAACGAGTCATTATGCTGGATTTATCACGAAGAATAATATATGTGCTGGATTCACTGATACGGACAAGGGACCTTGCTATGTAAGATCTCCTTTCAATTTGAAAGATAATTGATCCTTAACACTTCAAATACTTGTTAATATTTTTTATTAGAATAACCCAAAAGCTAAATAATTTCACATCATTATATTTTCTTTGTTAGAATGATGAAGGTGCACCCCTAATGTGCGTGAGTGAATCTGGTGGATCAGCCAGATGGGAAATTCAAGGTCTACTTAGCCACCATAGCAGATGCTCAAGGGGACATCCAGCCATTTACTCCAGCGTGGAACCAGCATTATCTTGGTTACGAAATTCCGTGCCTGCTTTGCAAACGCAAAGTTAAAATGCCAGAAGACAATTCAAGAGGACAGATCGACTATGAAGATATACTGATATTGATGTCACAAATGCGGAAGGTTCATGGGAGGGAACTGTCAGACTGAATGTCAAATGATCTTGTTGTAATCAATGAAACGCAACAAACAGAGAAAAACCATGTACTTAATTCATGTCTGTTTTTGTTTCAACCAGTATGTTCCTACTTAAATGCGAAGAATACTGAAAGGCCATAATTTGTTCCGCATTAGAAAAAGAGGTTCTGCGTTGAGAAACGTATGTAAATGATATCTTTTTTATCATAATTATCGATTAATGGGCAAATACTGCAATATACTGTAGTTTTTACACTTGTAACATCTGTGTGGAAAAAGGATTGATAGAGATATAACATATATAATTGGCAACACAATACTTATTTACAATTAAGAAATTTGTAAATACTGTATAAAGTGACTGTTTAATATGCTTAATGTTATAAGAGATTTTTATACGAAATAGGTCTCTTGAAGATATTATATAAGTATGACCATGAAAGAAATTTGGAACGTTTGAGACTATTGTCTTTATTCTACTCCATATCTAATAGTTTGACTGTTAATTTTATATGGTAACTGTATCTAATAAACATTTGCAGACACTGCAGTGCTGTATTGCTATACTCTACTACTGTAGCAGCAACACAGTATTATAAGCTAATGAAATGCCTGCAAAAGTTACTTTAAATTCAGTTATTATATAAAAATCAACAGCAAAGTGGAAGTATTTATTTGAAATAAGAGACCAATATATAAATGCACCAGATTATTCATGCAACAGTTTATTTCAGTGATCCTAACAAGGGATTTCTGAAATGAACACTGGACTAGGCTAAGAAATAGATAGGATAAATGTATATAATATATAAGTATTTTAATTAATAAAATACACTGTTATGAAAAGATACAATAATAAAATATGTTTATGTATGCATAGTCACTGATAAATGTGTAAGTATTTTTATATACTAAGAAAATAGAAAATAAATGTATTTTAAATGAAATCAATGCTTCCTCTTTTCAAGTGTAAAGGACTTTATTATTTTTAGAACCATCTTACATGTATGTACAATACATTCTTAATCTAATTGTTTTTTAGGCATAGCTGCAATCTCTGCATCTAGTACTGTAGCATCCATAGCAATCAATGATTTAGAAATGCCAGTTATTACTTCATTATATTTTGACAAAAGTTCATTTATGTGATTATTCAACTCCTGGCTTTCATCGTGCAACTTAAGATATGATAAATTTAGAGTACTAAGCTTGTTCGATAATTCTGGTACATCCTTTAAATGGTCAGTTTCTAATACAGGCATTAACTCCTGCATCTGCTTTAACATTTCATAATTCTTTTTGATTTCTGGTGCCATTGCTAGCAATAACTGAACTTTAGCTTCTGCTGGTATTTCTAAGCTTTCACACACAGGATCTAAATAATCATTTAATTCTGGTAACCGTTCCACTGCAGCATTTGCTTTTTCTCGTCTTGACAAAGCAGACGTAATTAATGTATTCACATTCAAAAGCTGATCGGTCACAGGATTTTTTGGTATTGTATCGATGGTTTGATTTGCTTTCGTAAGTCCATATATTTGCTTTTCCAAGTTAGCAATTCTATCCTCTAACAACTCAATAGTTCCCATTCTAAGTACCAGAACAAACAAGGTAATAATATACTTATGCATATGTTCCTACATAACCATATGTCAACTAGCTAAATGTAAATGTGTACGCTGCACTTTGTACACATAATTGATATATAAGAATACTCTTTTCAAGAAATTATGTTAATATGTACTCATTTTTTTATAGAGCATATAAGACAACGTGATTAATTGATAAAAAAAACTTTTACTATTACAATAATTAAATCTTTTAAGAAAAGAAAATGAATAAAACAAGTAAAATAACCAACAAAGTTAACTGCAGATTTTTATGTACTCATAAAAATTTACAAGGAATATAAGTTTATGTAATACTTACCTGAAAAATGTTAATATTTAAATCTACAATTTCAGTTCATAAAATAAAGGATTACAAATAGCAAAATATATGTTTATAATCGCAAGTCAAAACGTCAATTTTGACAGTTCTATTAGGTTATGTCAATACTTTGAAGTGATACAACAATCGATTCGAGTACTCGAAAACGAGCTCACTTCAGAGCGTTTAAAATTGGCGCCAAATCGAATACACACACACAAAGTTGATCGATTTGAAATTCGAGTTTTTACATATACATAAATATTTAAAATTCATTATTTGCTTCAAAATACTAGAAATTTCGATACTCAACGAACATAAATGACTAAATACAATGTAATACTTATAAATAAGTTTAAAAATGATATCGTTCGTCTAAATTTACAACAATTACGCACAATTATATATGTATACAATTTCTTGTTATTTTCTGAATTGTTGAACGACGGATTCTTAAGCGAAAGACTTGCATATTAAGGAAATAATATTTAAAGGAATAGATTAGAGTTTAGGATATGAAATTATAATAAACGTGTTTAAAATTAAATTTAAACGCATCTTAACTTCCGCCGTTAAACAATAATTAATATTCGCAAGAGACAAATTTAAACAAATAACATGTATTCGAAAACGATTGTTCTTTGTGTCGAGAAACTTACCCAAAATCTTCACTGCAAAAAGAAAACTGGTACCGCTTTAAATAGATTCGTCATGGTGGTGCATAAGTATATGCGTATATATAAACACATCGTATACACTCCGTAAGTTTGCACTTTTAAATAAACTCTCCCCCACTTCACTTTAAGAAACTGTTACAGACGTGCACCAGATAATGTTCGCACATGGGCTTACGAATATGGGGATGGATTATAGACGAGGAGAACGAAGCCAAGAAGAGAGGAGGGTTTTTATAGCAGATGCCCAAACTTGATTTGTTGCCTCACTGCGCATGTTCTGTACCGCCAATTATGGGTAACTGGAAACCGCCGATTAATACGGTTTTCTAAGTTAAACGATGCGCGTATACTATTTCAGTAAATTATAGATTCAGAAGTTTGTAATTTTCAGGCTGTTTAATTTTCAAACTTAGAAACTTCAAATTTTCAAATTTAAGCATTTCGAAATTTCAAATTTTCAAATATAAGACTTTAGGTATATAGACTCTCAGATATTTCAAAATTTTGAAATTTCAAATTAAACAATTTTCAAACTTAAAAGTTGTAAATTAAAAAATATTGAAATTTAAATTTAGAGATGTAGTGGCAGCCAGTGTAAACTAGGCATCAGTCGTCCCTGTTCCCGCAATAACTTCCCCGTCCAGAACACACGTTCCCTATATTCTTAGGTCCATATGTTCAGAAGAAAATCGCGACGGACAACTATTGCGAGAAGTAGCGGGGCGCGCAGTAGTAGGGATGCAGAGTATCTGTCATGGCCGACGTGCGCTGGGAGCGTAGTTTTGATCGGGCCGTAACGGCGAGTAGTACGCGGTGTATGCAGCAGTGAAAAAAAACATGGGGTACGATAATGGGCAGACGGTCAAGCGAAGAAGGCGTTAGCGAACTCTCGGTCCTTGTACAGGACGATTTATGCGAGAGGTCCGCGACGATGGAGTCACGAGCACGGAGGACTCGGTTACGTAGCGTTGTAGGGATATGTTTGTTTCTCGCGCTCACGGGCATCGTTTATCTTGGCTACTTTTGCCCTGATCATGTGTGCGCCCTGACGAGTCGCGAGATCAAGGAATCCGTAAGATTGTCCGAGGGTCTGTCTGCTGGTCCCGGCTCTGGCTTGTCTTCCGTCTCCGTTGAATTCGACAAAAATGGCCTGCTCTCTGTGCATCCTGCTTTTAGATTGCAGAGTATCCAAGGGAGCCTCGGTTACGACGATGTATTTACCAATGATACCTTCCAGTTTGACATTAACGGTCATGATGTCATTGTTTTCCTACATATTCAGAAAACTGGTGAGCACCTGTATAAATTGTTTTATAATTTATATGCTTTGGTTTGTTGCACGCTCAATATGTACTTTTAATTCTGATAACTGATAACTCAAGGTGTTTTTTATCAAGTCAATTTCTAATTTATCTAATGTATACAATAAAACGTTTTTACCTTAATAGTTGTCAACGTTTGAAGGTCATGTTAAATTTCTGTCTTATCGTTACAATTATTTGTGTCACAAAGTTTCTAATACTTAAAGTGTACTAATCAGACGTTCAAAGTCATTTTCTGATACTGACATACTGTGTTATGTTACATATTTTACTTGTATTTTTCTCTTAAATAATGCATCGATTGTTATGTCACATATATCAAGTAATGTATATTGTGTTTTTACTTGTACTTTCTTGTCTTAAATATGTATTGATTTAGTTTCCATTATATCATAAACATTAAATACTATATGTGCAAATATATTCTCTTATGAAATCTGTATTTCAAAAGCTTTCACATTAAACAAATAAGCAATATCAAGTTGAATGGAAAGTTTATGCATTTTTTTATGGAATGACATTATAATGTTCCATTATATAATTCGTTATTAATTACATACTACTGTTTTTTTTAACCTTATTTGCTATTCTATCGTGTAGTGTAATAACAAAAAGTTAGTTTGCATTTAATCGTGATAAATAACATAGTAGTATGTATGTATTAAGGTAAGGTTTCAGTGTAACAATGATAATAATGTCTTTTCCTCCTAATATCAACATGAAAAGTAAACATGATAATGTAAACTATATGGTCAAAATTCTTTGAAGATCATGGAATGTCAGCATAAATATATATTTTTGCTTGATTTTGTACTTAGATTTCTTTGGACAAGTGCCAACCGATCCTATGGCTCAATAAAAACAATGCAACATCCCTTCTGACCATTGTACAACTGAATCTTTGCATTATTCATCAGGCACTGTGAAACCTCCAAACCCTATCTTAGAAAGAGAAAGAACAATTCAGGGATGTTGCCTTGTTTAATATGCTATGCATGCATATCTCTGTTTCCTTTTGTTTTCTATGTACATGTTTCTCATAATCTTTCTTTTATGAAAACACATTTTACTGAAATATGTATATTACAAAAGCTAATTTGATGTTTTGATTGTTGTTACTTAATTTAATTTCTTACATTATAGTGCTAAGATCTTATGAATTATTAGTATATTTAAGATATGTTTAAAACCATCACATTAAAATATTTAAATAAAGAAATAGGTTTTATACGACTTATTTAATATAACATACTCTCTTTTTTGTTGTAGGAGGAACATTATTTGGAAAACATTTAGTTAGAGATCTGGATTTACAAAGACCTTGTTCTTGTCAAAGAAGACGTAAGCGTTGTTTTTGTTTCCGTCCAAATCGCAATGAAAATTGGCTTTTTTCACGATATTCTACTGGTTGGAAATGTGGTTTACATGCTGACTGGACAGAATTAACTAGTTGTGTTGATACTGAATTAAATAAAATTGAAGGGGATGGGATAAAACGTAGATACTTTTATATAACTATCATAAGGGATCCTGTTGCACGATACTTGTCTGAATTTAGGCATGTACAGAGGGGTGCAACTTGGAGAGGTGCTCGTCATTGGTGTGGAGGAACTCAAGCCAATATACCACAATGTTATCCTGGATCTAGTTGGCAAGGTGTTTCTTTAGAACAAGTAAGTTACATAGTGAATTTTAATAAATTTTCTTAATTTAAAAATATTTCAGTATTCTAACATTCACAATAGTAACTTTCATAAGCAATATGTTCAGTGTGTTATCTGAAGGCTTTCACATTTAGAAGCATATTAAGATAAGCAATTGTCCTTATCTTAAGTCTCTATTTCTTACTCCTCTATATGTATAGATATAGTTCTTATGAAAGCAGCAATCATTTTACTGATAATAAAATTTCGTAATTCACAAAAATCTTTGTTTACATTGTATAATAAGTACTATAAATAGAAAAAAATGAACAATTAAACTAGAATAAGTTTTAATTATAAGTTCCCATTCAAATGTTTTCATAAAAATACATTATGATTTATGTAGTTTATGGCATGTCCATATAATTTGGCAAGCAATCGCCAAACCAGAATGTTGGCTGATTTATCAATTGTTGGTTGTTACAACTCCACATTGAGCAGTTTGGAGAGAGATCGTCTCATGTTGGCTAGTGCTAAACACAATTTGCAATTCATGCCTTTCTTCATGTTAACTGAGTACCAGAAAGTAAGAATTTTTTTTTGTTGATATATTAACCAGTGCACATTTGAATGTTATTATTCTTTTATTATTTTTATTATTGAATCAATTTTTAATAACTTTTTTTTTGCCTTTATCTAGAATACCTTATAATTCTCCAATATATAAACTAGTAGCTTTTTATCATTGTAGTTACTATTATTTTTACCACCATAGAATATTGTTTTATTTCAATTTTGACCTTTTTATTATTCGTAGACTGACTTGTTGTTGACCTTGATACATTATTGCATGTGGTATAGAATGCTTATCAATATTTATGATCTAAATAATCATACCTTGCAGCACCATATTTATTCTGCCATTTAATAGAATGCAAACTTCATGTAGTACATACAAATTGCTACTAAATGTATTAATTCTTTATAAATACATTTCAAATTCCATTGCACCATATGTTTGAGCATGAATGAAGATATACTCTGCAGTTATTATGCATTTCATAACTGTTAAATTCAAAATAAAATAGGTGGGACAGTATTCTTTTGAAGAAACCTTTGGAATGAGATTTGCTGTTGCATTTGAACAACACAATGCAACATTGAGTGCTGCTACAATGGCCACTCTTAGTGCAGAACAATTAGATGCTGTGCGTAAATTGAATAGATTGGATCTGGAACTTTATGATTTTGCAAAGAATCTTGCATTTCAAAGATTCAAACGGCTTAGAGATCGTGATCCATACTTTGTACAACGATTTCAACATCTTGGGGAATTACCTTCGAGGCAAAGTGTAACAGAATTCAATTGGGATTCTGTTATCGAAGATACAACAGATGTTGAATGATATGTAAGTATGTTATTATAAAATACTACCGATGCTTTGCATTCATAAGCAAAGAAATTCGCTCTGAATCTGAGCATCTCAGGGATTCATCCTTGAAAGAAAACGTTTTACATAGAATTATCGTATGCAGTTATCTGCATGAAGTTTACCAAAAGCGTTTATAGGAATTAATTTGGATAAGACCAAAGAGAGCTCAGAGGATCTTGGTAAAATCCGTGGTGTCCTCGTTTAGTAGCTATACATAAAAATCTATGTTAAATAATGCCACAAATTTTTTTATGATTTTTACAGTGTTTATAAATTCTCTTTGAAAGTTCTTCCATTTAATATAATCTTACTTACAAAACTATATTTAAATTTGAAGGTTGTTATTTAAAAATCAGTTTTAAAATGTACTACGTATTACTATAATAACTAAAGTGCTTATTTCCTAAATACGTCTACGCCGAGAAATTGAATAAGTTCAAAAAGAGTATTAGTATTGATGTGTTCTAATACATGTGTTTGCCATGTTACATGATACTCATTATTTTAAACATATGTTTTCATATTTTATTTAAACGTGATACAAATTAATTTTATGATCTTATAATTAAAAATACTAAGATGCATTCAATATATTTTCGTTTTGTCTATTAACGAATATATTTTTCAAAGACGAAATATTTTTTCATATACAACAAATAAATATACTTTTGGTATACTACTATATGCTGTAAATTTGTTGGTAAGAATGTGTTTGATCGCTTAATTATAAATTGAAGGCAATATTTACATTTCTAAATAATTAAGTGAATTTGATATTAGAAACAAAATAATTTATCTTTTAAATAGTGTCATTCGAGAAACATTAAATGAACATGTTTACATTTGAAAACGATTAATAAGAAAGAAGTCGTGCTTCAAAAATATATCAAAGTTTTCAAATTAGATCAATGTGTACATTCCTAATACATCAATGAGATAATAAAAATGACATTCAGCATATATAAAAATTTCTATTTATAGCAGTTTTCAATGGAAGAATAAATATTGCAAATTAATTTTGTAAATATATCTAAAAGTCTATATTTTTTAAAAGGATTATTTGCAGCGTTATTTGAACGAAGTGGTATTAGATTTAATAAAAAGCGATCCACATAGCGTAGGTGGTAAAATGTTCGTGCGAATGTTGAGATGAATGGTCGTACATTGGATAAACGTGGTTCATATTAGATACTGAATCTAAGTATCTGTTTGATAATAGCTCACAAAGCTCTTTTCTTTAGTAAATGTTTATATTTTCATGTAACTGTTTTAAATATCAGGTCTCCATAGTTTTTCACGCTAAATTAGTAAGTCAACAATTGTTACATTAAAAATGTGAAATAAGTTGTATTAATTTAAAAAAAAAAATTACGTAGTTGTTTAATCTACTAGAATTGTATGTGCAATAAGACTCAATGGGTTACCATTATAAATATTTCATATCATTCAGTCATGAAATAAGTGTAATATATCCTATATATACATTTAGATAGTTAGCATTAAATCATTATGAAACATAATGCAAATGCTCTCTTTAACGTGCTATTGATCTTCTGTATGATTACCATGTTTATATTGTAAGTTAGATTGTAAAATGAGTGCCATGAATTGTATAGGACAAATTGATCTGCTTTCTTTCTCTTTTAAGTTTGGTATCAAAATTACTGACATAGATATAAAAATACATCACTTTTGTTTCAAGATTGTTCATAAATTTGAGGCATTCATTGCCTATGTTAAATATCTTGTTGTTGATTTATAGGTGATAATTAAATGTAGTTGTTATTTATACATTTTTTTATTTATGGTTTGCATTAAAGTAATTTTTGTAAAATAAATATGTTCTCTAAAATATAATTCAGAAATCAAAGCAAGAATTAACATGGAACTACTATCATCTGATAAATCAACAACTAATATCTACTTATAAAAATATATAATTAACATGTAATATGATTAATGACAATGATCGTTTAAACGTAACGTTAAGGACCAAAGATTAATAAGTTTTTACAAAACTGCAGAGAGCTTGTTATGAGCAATTGTAAAAAGTTTTTATATGTTCTTAAAGGAAGCAATTATAATTGCTGTAAATGAAAAGATGTATGTGCAAAATCTTTTCATGTATACATATAATATATATATGTACAATAATTAGAGTTATTAACTTGGATGAAACACAGAAAGATCTTTTAAGCAATCAATGCACAGAAACAGGTTTTTAGCAATATACTTCTATTTTTTCATATTTATCTTAACTATCTGTTAGCATGTTTTAAATAAGTGAAAGATAATCCAACTTAAATCACACAGGGTGGGTGAGGTATTTTAAAACTATTAAACGTAACACAATTGCCGTTCGCCATTTCATCGACTTTCTAAGTTTCAATGTTTATCTTTTTACCATTTTCTATCATACATACTGAAGTGTTTGTCTCGTTATGCGTGCAAAGGATGCCTGTGGTTATTCGTAGGCAATTATCGGATTAATAGTAATTTGAGTATTTGCATTATCGGCATTGTAAAAATGCGCACTGTCCAATTAACGTTAAAGAGAAATTAGCTTTAACATGTAACACGAAATTTGTAGCACGAAATTAATTCAAATAATGAGAACAAAAAGCCATGACAGTAGCCTAATAAAGTAAAGTATAGGCCTAAGCCAATGGTACCTTACATAAGTCAGTGTACATACCACACCATTAACTCATTAAGGAACAATAAATTGTTGTGTACACATTATATACAATCTTATACAGACATATATAAATACATAAATATATATATATTATATAAAAATATATGTAAGTTGTACACATATATTTAAAATTATGTTATTTGATTATTAAACAATTATATAAAAAAATATTATGTATTTATTTTAAAACATCTACTAATTTAATCCAACAAACTTTTACATACCCTTTCATAATATTAAAGGCATCATTAAAAATGACAGAGACAAAATATAAATTAAAATGTTTATTTTGCAATTGCTAATTAAATATATTTGTACATTATCATTAAGAGAAATATACTTTGTTCGTAAAATTACGTTAAGAGCTTGTTTAAATTATAACAATTTTTGATTCTGTATTTTAACATTAGACAAATATAAGATGGACATAAAATGCTTTGATAAAGTCAATCCCAAAAGAATATGACAATAATACCTTAACACTTTTTTGCTAGAGCAGCGATTGCTCTAGCATTATCTTTTCAAATCCTGTAGGTGGAGGATGAGCGAAATTATCCAAAATTAAGTCTAAAATGGCCCCATCATCCACTGCAAAGAAAAATTAATCTGTACATATGTACACATACAAAACATTATTATCTAAATTCTTTTAATTACCGTAAAGTACTGGAAACACAGTTCCTTTTATGCCCATCACAGGTGCATCCATTGATTTTCCATTTAAATAGAAATTAAGTTCTATATGATCATAAGATATTCCCTAATAAATAAAACAATGTTAATTTATAATCTGTATGTATCTTTGTACAATTTATACTTACAATAATATCGCCTTCTTGAACCTGGCTTTGTATTTTATGTACTTCTTGCTGATTATGCCTTATAATACCATCCGAATTAAGAGCCCAACTTTCTGTATCATTTCCCCCAGTCGCAACATTCAGATCTGTGTTTCTTGTGGCTAATCCGATTGCCCATATACCACCTTGCTGTATTTTAACTTCAAAATAACTTTTACTTTGGGCAAGCGGAGCATTCGTTAAGGCACCACCACGACCACACACTCTTAGACCATTTTTTACTATCACAACTTCATGTCCTGCACCAATTTGACAATGTTTCATAAGTTCTAATTACATTTAAAAGAATTTTGCGTTCCCTATCATTAAAAATGAAGACTCAATTATGTCAATAATAAATTATCAATGACATTGAACACACACACAAGTATATTTTTATCTCACAAAGGCGTGAAAATGTAAATTCTATGCAAATTCGATGATACGAGCATTGATAAAACTTGAAAGCGTTGCCCAGTCATGAAAATAAATATTACCCATGTAAGATGTATCTAAAGCTATAGGATTTGGTTCTTTCTTCGGAGTTTGTGTTGCGGCAAAGCCAAGGCCGTCAAAACAGTTCCTCAAACAGCAAAACATCATCTTCGTTTCGCTTATTTTATTGTTCAAACGAACGAATACGACATCGTGATACTTCCAGGAGAAAAATTTCTTTTCCTCCCGTAAAATACTGTGAACACTTTGCAATATTTACTTTTGTCGCACGAGAACTGTAGACCCTCGATGATGCGCGTATTTGATATTGAGACAAAAGTCTCACTATAGTAGGTTTACTATCTACATAATAGAAAATGGCTTCCTTTTAAATCTGTACAATCAATATTTATTTTTATTGTATTATACAATTTCTTATGCACTGAAAGCTACGCTATGGACATTTTTTAAGGACTAAATTTTATATCTGTACTTATTGTGACATATCAATTCAAATATTCTAATATTAATTTTAAGGTTATGTTTTGTCCGGAAGAGGTTATGTTATTCATGTAAGTTTCAAATGAGACACGTTACACCGGTATAAAATTACTTCAATGTCAATTTATATGTTCAAGTATTTGCAAACTACAGTAATGAAATGTAACTTAATATTATGATAAAAAGTATGACTTAAAAATATCTGATAGGGAAAGAAAATAAACCTGTATTTAGTACCAAAATGGTATTTATTCACTTATTTTATAGAAGAAAAATTTATATTCGACTGGGGTACAACATCTGCAATAAAACAAGAACAGTGATAGTCTCTTCCATGTTATACATTCCATAATATATAAATAATAAATCAATTTATGAACTTACAATTCTGATACGGTGGCCCATAGCTTTAGCTGGCAGATTCCTCTTAAATTTAGCACGTACTGAACCACTCGTTCCATGTGGCCGTGTTACTTTACCCCAGATAGCCCTAATTTTTGTTTTTTTGCCCTTCTTACCAGGAACTGGTGTCTTATTTTTTGCCTGCAAAAATTAACAAACACATTATGATTATATTGCTTTTATTAAACTCAAGCAAAGATAGATGACTTAAACAATAAACTTTTACCTTATATACATAAACACATCGTTTTCCTACATAAAAGTCTGAGTCACTTTTCGTTCTTGCTCCTTCAACTTTCAGTAGAGTTGTGTGTTCATGCTGATTACGCAGTCCTCGCTTGTAACCAGTGAAAATGGCCTTGGCATACAGACGTCCATGTCTTTTAAACGGTCTATTTTTCAAAAATGGTTCCACTGGCTTCTCCTTTGGTTTCTTACTTGCTTTCGTTTTAGTTTTTGATTCTGCAGGTGCGTCTGCCATTTCTATTAATAAAAAACAAATATGAAAAATATGTACCTTAACAGGATAATACAATAAATGTATACATATGTTAATTGTTTAAAAATCATACTAAGTATACACTTTAAATCCTTTTAAATTCTAGTGTCAAAGTACTTGATTCTAAGTAGATCTTCGAAAAGAGAAAAATAAGTAAGATTTTTGTTTTGTGCAGTTAAAAATTTTGGAAAATGAATAGTTTATACACGAAAAATACGACTGAAATTCTGATAATACATGAAATGAAAATTTAGGTTATGGTACTGTGTCACTCAAATAATGTTAAACAACAAGAGATATTCACTATAACACAGAATAAGATATCACATACAGAATTTTATTTAATAACTTAAAGAAAAAGTGTGATTTGTGTTTATTCAAAACTTTATAGTAAAATATGCTGATTCTGTTGTGATATGTCTGTGAACACCGTGTAAGACTGCATGTTGTTATCCATTGTAATCGTAAAAAAGTACATGAAATCCCAAGATAAAAGTAATTATATGATATCTAGGGACAATTATGAACGATATACCACTATTCTTAATTTATTAATTCAATTAATTTAACATATTTTAAACAATAAATATAGAGCTCTGACACGAAACACATACCGGATGTATATCACGAACTAAAAGAAACAGGAAACTGTAGCCCTCTACTGACAGAGCATTAAATTTATCTTCGTGGAAATGTAGAATTTGATAATATCGATTGAATTTTTGATTGCGTATACGATTTTTGGGCGAAATTTTGGAAAATTGTCATACTTTGATATTTTGCAAACAAGTTCTTTTTTTTTAGAAGAAAATAATAAAGTGTAAGAATGGTTTTTGATGATAAAAGAAAAACTTTTACTACTGCAATGTTGTTTGTAATTTTCAACACATGCTATGTTCCTGAAACATTTTAAAGAAAATTCCTATTAATATTTAATGCATATTATTGCCGATTAAGATGAAAAAATCGATATTCATTTAAATAAGTTTAAAACGGTACAGATGGCGCCATTTAGCGGTGAACAGAGTAACTATTGCAGCCAAATTTAAAATACCCCTTCGGGAATATTGACTTTCCGAGCTTAATCGGCAATAAAATGCATCGAATATTAATAATAATTTGCTCCAAATTATCTCAAGAAGCATAATATGTGGAAAAAGTTACGAAATACGACTTTTTATACTTTTCCAACATGCGTATTGGGATATACATTTTTTTCGATTAGTTTACTTGTTTCGCGGCATTGCGATACGCACATGAGCCCCCTATATCAATTCTACTGTACATACAAAGTGCAATATTTCGGCACTTTGCCGACGTAGTACGGTTCCGGAGGCATTTAGAAACAAATTTCTATTAGGGTTTGATGCCTTTTGATGCTTAATAAAGTCAGGAAATCAATTTTTGTGGAAATTGGTCGTAAACGGTACAGGTGGCGCCATCTAGCGGTGAGCGGCGGAATTACGAAAAACTAAAATCTCGATTTTCTCGAAAAGTAGCGACTTTTCCGAAATTCTGAGATATACAAATTGTTCCTTGTCACCTAAGGAATCGAACGAATGTAATTATAGCCTGCTAGGACCAATATTAAAGAAAATAGAAAAATAGCCCATTTCATGGACTAAAAAATTGGCGTCCATCTAGCGGTGAAAGTTGGAACTACAAAAATATAAAAATGCGATTTTCTCGAAAATTAGCGAACATTGAGTGCTTCTGAGGCTCAGAAAGTGTTATGTGATCGCATTAGAAGCAAAATATAGCAATAAAAGTTTTCTAAAAGTTTTAATAAAGAAAATAAAAAAAATGTCATTTTATGGAGAAAATTTGTGGCGCCATCTAGCGGCGAAACTGCGAACTAAACTGAAAAAACGTATGTCCCATCACGCAGTAAAGGGGTCAAATAAAAATTGATTTTTTGAGCTTAATAGGTAAAAAAATGAATAACTTATTCAACAAAAATTGCTTTACAATGTCTAAAGAAGCATACTACGTCGTGAAAGTTGCGAAATATTACTTTTTATATTTTTCCTTAACGCGTGTACGGGCATACGATTTTTCAATTTAGTTCGCACTTTCGCCGCTAGATGGCGCCACAAATTTTCTCCATAAAATGACATTTTTTTTATTTTCTTTATTAAAACATTTAGGAAACTTTTATTGTACTATTTTGCTTCTAATGCGATCACATAACACTTTCTGAGCCTCAGAAGTACTCAAAATTCGCTAATTTTCAAGAAAATCCCATTTTTGTATTTTTGTAGTTCCAACTTTCGCCGCTAGATGGACGCCAATTTTTTAGTCCATGTTTTGAGCTATTTTTCTATTTTCTTTTCTAGTCCTCTGAGCAGGTTCTTGTGACAATATATAGGTTCTAGTGAGATCACAGAACAATTTCTGACCCTCAGAAATGCGTAAAATTGCCTAATTTCGGAGAAAATCGAAATTTTAGTTCTTCGTAGTTCCGCCGCTCGCCGCTAGATGGCGCCACCTGTACCGTTTTCGACCGAATTCCACAAAAATTCATTTCCTGGCTTTATTAGGCATCAAAACGCATCAAACCCTAATAGAAATTTGTTTCTAAATGCCTCCGGAACCATACTACGTCGTCAAAGTGCCGAAATATTCATTTTTTTATTTTCCTTAAATGTGTGTTCGAACCCTCACTTTTTAGGATCAGTTTTTTCAGTGACTGTTCGTTCATGGCAAGTCCGATTAAAATTATGTTTTTCTATGTCCATCTGGATGTACATACGCATGTGCATGCAAAATTTGACGAGAATTGGTTGAGTGGTGCAAAAGAAAAACGCGGACAAAGAAGTTGCAAAGTCAAGTATAAGAGCTTCGCTCGCTCAATAATTTCATTCGTAGCTATTAGCTCGATATCGTTTTCTAAAGTTCATTTTTTAAGAAATGTTTAGAAAACGATATCGATTACCAGGTCACACCACGTGGAGGTTGCTACGACAGTGACCCGCCCTAACTCCAAATCCCTTCCACCCTCCAATTGCAACACCTCATTTATCAGAAGGATAAATGAGTTCTGACTCTACTTAGCTCATAGGCTCGCGTATACAAGCTCTTTACTACAATCCAGCAAAGAACTTGTATCACACACACACACATACATACATTAGCTTAATACTAATCGCATTGCATCCCACACACGCACGCTTAACTTATTCTAAACGCCGCACGGTACCTCACCCTGCCCACGAGAACACTTAACTTAAAATTAACGCACGCATAAAATTAACTTAAAACTAGCGCACGCATAAAAATAGCTTAAAATTAACGCACAAAAACTAGCGCACGCATCCCTCGATGATCCCTCGATGATTCCTCGATGATTCCTCGATGATCGATGTCTTCAATGATGATCTATTCATTACCTGCAAAATAAGTAGGTGTGAGAATAAAGAAATGAAACAGAAAAGTAAATGCAAGATTATCTAGATAAAATAAAAACCTGAAACATCTGAATAAAATTCAGGCAAACGAGAATTATTAACATAAAACCTGAGGCATCTTAATGAAATTAAAACAAACAATAATCGTTGAAATAGAACCCTGAAACATACAAATACAATTGAGACACATATGAATAAATAAATTACATACACAAAATAAAAACCTGAAATATGCAAAAATGATTAAGCCCTACATGTGCCTTTTGTTCTAAAATTGCACTAGTATAATTTAGAACTTTATAGAGAAAAGGGGTAAAGAAGAAAGTTGGAAGAACTTTCTTTTAAGTTTCGAGCAATTGACAATAAAAATGGCTATTACTACAATCTAATATGTAACAAGTTAAGGAATATTTGTAAAGATAAGTGCAAGTTAGAACAAAAGACACAATTTGCGCAAGCTTTTCGCCACAGATTGTGACGAAAAACCTGCGCCCGAGCCCACCCTTCCTCCCACAGCTCGGAATTAAT